ATTGTTTTGGGGGAGAGTATTGATACGATACCATCTTCAAGGGTGCATGTGAGGAAACAATATAGGGAAATAATCACTTGTTGACTCAGTTAATCAGTTGCAACCAAATGTAACTAACTTTAACAGAATGGGTGGCATGGGAGGTGGGGTAAGGGTGGTTAAATAGGAATGGTGAAGGCTAGATTGAGCATCTGGAATCTTGGATTGGGATTGGAACTTGGGAGAGAGTGAGGTCTCTCATATGTGCTTCATACTATCATTCTTCTTTCCATCTTGTGTATTTCGTGTTCCAGTCATTAGTTATATTTTTCCTTCTCTTTAATTGTACTGTTTCACTATAATGTCTCTCAAATTTCCATAAATATACAAAATCTGGTTTACTAGGCCAAAATCCCCTGTTCTTTATTGTTAGTTCTGTATGAGGTTGAGGTTTCTATCACTCTCTCTCAAGGGCTTCCCATTAAAAACCAATCGGTAGGTTATGCTCCTCTTGCAATTCTATGCATTTTTGCTTCCAACCTCAAGGGATTTCATGCACTCGATCAAAAGCTAGGTTATCAAGGTGGTTAGCTATGGAAGTTGCTCTCTTTTCGGGTTGGAGAAGAAAGAACCGTGGAAGATGAGGTTAAAATGCCTTAATCCATTTACTTAATCACTCAACACTTTATGCTTTTTGACCAAAAGTCAACATTTCTTCTCATTTAATTCCTAACTCATCCTTTTCTCATTTGATCTATGATCTAGCCATAACTTAACATATAAAATGTGTGATTAATCTCTTATATCTCATAAATTAGCCTTTCAATAATTTATCTCAAAGTTTCTGGTAATTTTACATAACTGTATTTTTACCGCAAAACACACTGTAATTGCACTTTTTCACTTAAAAGTCACTTTAATAAATTAGTTAGACCTCTCATCTAATTAATCACATATATTCATGAAAAATCCCTAATTGCTCATTTTCTCATTATACGGGTACAGGTAGAATGCACTACTCTTTCTGTTCTTAAGCCTAATATTAATCTTGTTGACTTACCTATTGCTCTAAGTAAAGGGAAAAGGTCTTTTGCCCAACACTATCACTCATTTTGTCTCCTCTAGGAATCTTTTTGTGCAACATAGAAGTTTTATTTAAGCACTTGATTCCACTTCAATTCTAACATCAGTGCATGAAGCATTGAAAGATGATAACTGGGTTCAAGCCAAGTGTGACAAGATGAATGCTTTGGGGAAGAATAATGCATGAGAAGTTGTTGACAGGTCAAACGGAAAGAAAATAATAGGGTGCAAATGGGTGTATACTTTGAAATATAATTCTAACGGGATTCTTGAGAGGTATAAGGCTCGATTAGTAGCCAAGGGTTACATACAAACCCTTACTGTTGATTACGAAGAAACATTTGCTCTGGTGGCCAAAATGAACACCTTAAGAGTCCTATTGTTCCTTGTTGCTCACTTTAATTGGGACTTAAACCAATTTGATGTGAAGAATGCATTCTTAAATGGTGAGTTAGAAGAGGAAGTTTACATGGAGATCCTGTCGGGATTTGACCCCATAAATAGAGATAATAAAGTTTGTAGGTTAAAGAAGGCTTTGTATGGGTTGAAGCAATCCCCACGTACTAGGTTTGGAAGATTTACCAAGATCATGAGCCCTCCAATTGAGCAAAATCACAAATTGAGATGCGAAAAGGCTCCAGTTGACAAAGGACAATATGAATGACTCACGGGAAGATTGATATATTTGGCTCATACTAGACTTGATTTAGCTTATGCAATTAGCATTGTTTGCTAGTTCATGCACAATCCAAGGAAAAAACAACTGCAGGCACTGGATAGGATTCCCCAATATCTGAAAGCCACACCATGCAGGGGACTGTTATTCCGGAGAAAGAGAAGCTTATCCTTAGATGCCAGTTATGTTGGGTTTGTGATTGATCGACGGTCTATCTTGGGCTATTGTATGTTTCTTTATGGAAACCTAATAACATGGATGAGTAAAAAGCAAAATGTGGTTGCTAGGTCAAGCATAAAAGCAGAATTTCGTGTCATGACCTAAGGTATTTGTGATTTTGGTTGAAAATCATTCTTGATGATCTCAAGGTGAGATGCGAAGGACCTATGAAGTCACTCAATCATCTATATAGTGCACAATACTGTCCTACACTACCGAACAAAAAATACTGAGATCGACCGCACTTCATCAAGGAGGGACTAGATAGTGAACTGATTATTACTCCATTTATTCCTTTTGGTTGTCAACTTACAAATGTCTTGACCAAGTGACTTCCTATCGACAGATTTTAAAAACTTACTATCAAATTGTGAATGATAAATTTTCATTCCTCAACTTGAGGGGGGTGTTGTAAATATGAAAAGTATTTGTAATTATTTGTTTCTTTATTTTTAGTATTTTTTAGGTCCGTTAGTCTCTGTTTATATATTGTACCCTTCAGTACATGATCAGATTAGAATAGCAATAATGTTTCAAATTTCTTTTCAAATGGAATCCAGCCTTATCTAATAATTTTGAGTACTCTTTCTAGAGTGTCTTAGGCCTTTATGCTCTTCTCTCTATTTTGAGTGAATTTGTTATGCTACTCTCTCTATTTGAATGCTAGATGTCTTTTATTTAGATACAAATTTTTCTCTCTTAAAATTTTAACATTCTTATAATTAGTTTTTTAATAATATTAACCCTATTCATAATAAATTATAGAGTAATTGCCCAAATTGGTCCCTGAGAAAAAACTCGGTGCCCAAATTAGTCCCTGACAAAAATAAACTCGTTAGATAGTCCTCGACAAAGTGAAACAGGACCCACGTTAGTCCTTCTGTCAATCCAAAACTGACGGTGTCAATGACGGTGATGATGTGTCACGTTAAGTGACATGCTGAAGGCCACGTGGGTTGAGGAACGACGTCGTTTGGAGATAGTCATCCACGTTGGTCAGACTAGTTCTCTTTCATCCAAGGAACGTCGTCGTTTGTTTTTTAGGGTTGTTCTTAAACCAGAAAGCATGGCTTTGAATCAAAGATTGAACGCATGAATTTGGGGAAAATTGATTGACGGTTTTGTGAAGGTTGGTGTATACTGTACGATTTAGGGTTGTTCTTAGTTTTTATGCCATGAATATCTCTTCTGGGAGGGGGAGCTCAAGTAGTTCATTTGGGTCCAGAAGTGGAAGAAGGAGAGCTGCTCCATTGTGTAAATGTGGGAGGCACAATGTTGTTTGCACCTCCAAGACACTTAGAAACCCTATTAGATCATTTTTTGGGTGCCCCAACTTCAAGGTGAGGATGATTTTTTGATGCGTTATTTTTCTAATGTCAATGTTATTAACTGTATAGTTGAATTTGGTTTAGGAAAAGAAGCCACACTGTAATTTTTTTACATGGGTGGATAATGCTACATCTGATACCATGGAGCTGGAAGATTGGACAATTAACAAGCTGGAGTTGAATGTTGCTAAAATGGAGTTCAAGTTGAACTTTTTGGACATGAAGCTCAATGATGAACTGCAGCTGGAGGTGAATGACCACAAAAAGAAGATTAATGAGCACTGTATAAAGATTGAAGACATATCAATGAAGATGCAGGCAGACTTTGAAAGGGTTGAGAAGGAAATGATGCATGTGTGTATGTGTGTTAGGGTGTTTGCTGGACCCATTATTGTGTTGTTTCTAGTATGTATATATCTTGCAAGTAGGCTGTAGTGAAATAAAAAATGTGGTTCTGTTGAGATTTGCTGGTGTAATGAATTGTTGTTCATGAAATGTATGTAGCATGACTTATGTATTTGAAGTTATGTTTATTGGTACAAAATGTTGTATAAACTCGATGGTGATAAAAAAAGGAATGGAAACAATGTATAAAGACTAAACTAAGAATGTGATGGTGTGAATTATGCAGAAGTTGATTGTGTTAGGCATGACTAATATCAGAATGTACAAGGGGAAATGACATTGCTGGTGTGTTAATAGCAAATGGTGGCACTGGTATTAACAGAACTTTAGCAGGGACTAAAAAGGACCCCGATAAAATTGTTAGGGACCATACTGGTTCACTTTGTTAAAAACCAAGGACTAAAAAGGTCCTCGATAAAAAATGTTGAGGACTTAAAAGGGAACTTAAAAAGCAGATGGATGATAAGTGCAGTTAAGCAACACATGACTCTTAAATGGACACAACAAACAGAACAAACATACCATTGTTGACAAAAACCAGAAAGTGTATCAGCAGATAGATGGTTTGTACCAACATTTAAAAATTGCAGCAAATATATACAAGTCATGACAGTAAAGACAACAATGAAAAATAGCTTCACGTTGTCTTCCCAACTTCTCAAAGTGTTCATACTTAATATAGTATTTCACAACAATGACAACAAATATATACAAACATTCCATTCATTTCACAGCAATGACAGTAATGAAATTGAGTTAAGACAGCAGAGATATAGTATTTCACAGAAAATATTCCATTCATATCATCACTTTGTACTTACAATTCTAACTGACATAATATACCATTAAGTAGGAACACTTTGTCTTCCCAAAAAACAAAGTGTTCATACTTAATATGGCCATAACCAGAGGCACACAAAAAAAAGCCATTGGTGAATCATTTGAACAGGGCCAAAACCAAACTAATACAAAAAAACTAGCCTAATTACAATTCCAAGCTACTGGCCTAATAACAAAAAAAATGTCAACTGTCACATTTGAACTGGCCTAATGTCAGTGATTATAACACTTGTTTTCCAAATCATTTATGTGGGGCTGGCCTAGGTGGCCTGAATCCTGGTGTAGACATGAAGCTCATGAATCTGGCTCTGGTGCCACTGCTAGCTGCAGCTGCTGTCTCACTGGTCACTGCCTCAGCAAGATTGCATGGAGGTGGGCTGCTGCCTGTTGAAGCTCTTGGTTCAGCTACACTTGTTGCATGTTGGCTGCTTGTCTCAGGTGCAGGGCAACCCTGACTCATGATGATTTCTTCAACTGTCCTTGATTGGCCTACTTAAAACATTAACCGGTTTTGTCTTGGACTTTGAACCACCAGCAGGTCCCTTACATGTCTTCGGGTAATGACCAGTCTCACCACACTTGGAGCATTGAACTGTGTAAGTCTTTGTAATCTTCTTGTTGGTCTTCATAAGCTCTTCAGTGGGATCCTTCTTCCTATGCTTTTTTGGACATCCAATAAGCCTTTTCAAGCGTGGAGGAAGTGGTTTTGGGGCATCACAAGCTGGCCAATATTGTTGGGAATTGACTGGGTTGAGGATGTGTTCATAAGTGGCATGCAAAGCATCCACTGTCAGCCATTGGTGAACTTGATTTTCCACAGGTTCATTCTTGTGTGCAATGGCAGCAATGGCATGTTCACAAGGCAATCCAGTCAGCTGCCAAACATTACAACTACAAGATTGTTGAGTTAAATTCACCCTAACACGTTGACCCTTTCCAGATACTTCATACAGATGTTGGACCAAGTTTCCAGTCCATGTTGGTGTCCAAGAATTGCTTGCAACCTTCAACTGGTCCAGCCTCTTCTGCTGTGCAGGTGCAATCTTACCCCTAAAGGTTTGTAGAATCCTCTTGTGTGCTGCCATCCTTCGCATTATGTAGCACCTCAATTCCTCACATAATGTCATTATAGGTTTGGACCTATAATTCACAATCTTTGGATTCCACACCTCAGCCATATTATTTGTAATATTGTCACATTTAGGCCAGTGACTGTAGTATGCCTTAACCCAACATGAAGGGTGTATATTGTCAAGATACTTCGAAGCTGGTTCGTTTAGAGTCTTCAGCCTTAGCATGACCTTCTCAAATTGGGGAACAGTGGTGCATCTAGCACATTCCCACACAATTCCTCTTGTCTCTTTATCCTTCCATTGCTTGATGAAGTTCTTCCATACATATTGTACACATAACCTGTGGTGTGAACCTGGCATAATTTCCTTCAAGGCTGGGACAAGTCCCTGTATGTGAATGTGAAACAAAAAGTTAAAATACAAACTGGACAGAACATATTGAGAAATAAATAATTGGAAGCATAAGCTAAAAACTGTTACTTTTTGTTGATTTGATATGAAGTTCTAACCAAATACTCCATGATCCCCTAAATCTTCCTGTAATAAGGTCAAAAACCACTTCCAATTTTTCTCTGTCTCACTATCAACCACGGCATAGGCAATCACATAAAATTGCTTGTTTGCATCTTCACCCACAGCACTCAATAGTTGACCTTCATAATAGCTCTTCAAAAAGCAACCGTCCAAGCCAATTAAGGGCCTGCAACCAGCTTTGAAGCCCTTCTTACAAGCATCAAGGCAGATGTACATTCGGTCAAATATTGGCAATGCTTGTGGAATAGGTTGGGGGGTGACTTGCAATTTGCAACTGGAGCCAGGGTTGCTCCTCAACAGCTCAGCCAGATATTCTCTTAGTCTTCCATACTGTTCCTACTCACAACCTTCAATGGTTCCCTTTGCTTTTTTCAAAGCCTTGTTTACTTTCTTCATATCCAAATGAACATTGTATTCCTCCTTCATGTGCTCAAATGCCTCTGACCTGGACATCTTGGGCTGTGTTAGTATTCTCTTCTCCAATTTCTTGGCCACCCAATCTCGAGTAGCCCTTTTATTTTTGAAGACTCTGCAGCATGTATGAGTCTCTTTAAAAGTCTTTATTTGGAATGTGCTTAGCTTGGTGTTCCAGGCACAATACACCATCCATTCACAGTCTTCTATACTGCATTTGGCCCTTACTCTGACCTTGTCATTCTTAACCCAGATGAAGTTCCTCCCAAGACTGATATTGTAGTCTCTTACCGCACACTTAAATTGGTCCAAATTCATAAACTCCATACCAAGTTCTAAATAGACATGCCCAAAAGAAGCTTGTTCATTAAACTTTGGCAAGACAGGTCTAACATTCTCATCATCCTCACTTGAAGGAGGAGTCATCAACTCCTCAGACAGATAGGTATATCATTCTTCCTCAAATGACATTATGTCATCCTCTTCATCAACTTCTTCAGATTCAGAGTCTTGAATTGGGGCATCCTTCTTGACTGCCTTCCTCCTTGGAGTCTGTTTTGCAGGCTTTTTTTTCTCTACCAATGGCACATTGACCTCATCATCATCTTCTGAATCATCCTCAACACCAGGTGGGGGAGGCTTGTATACCTCATCCTCTGCACTCTCATATGAATCTGAGTGTGAGGAAGCAACCTTATCATCTGCATTATCATCTTCAGATCCATTACCAGCATCCTCTGCGCTTTCATCATCATGGTCCGAGTTGATCCCATCATCATGTAAATTCAAGCCATCAGCACCCTGTGCAGCTTGTTCATTTTCTTTGATTCCATCATCATGTAAATTATGGCCATCAGCAGCCTGTGCATGGTCTTCATTTTCTTTGACCCCATCATAACCTTGTGCATTGTCTTCATGTGAATTGACCCCATCATCAACCTATTCATGGTCCTCATTATATGCTGAATTAATGACATTTACCTCTTCACTGTCATGTTGAGGTGAAGCGAACTCGGGAATTGAGATGCAGTCCTCAAAGTAGACATGTATCTCATTGCCATTTCCTAAAGCAGCCTCACACATGGCACACACATCCGAATCTGGACTAAGTGGTCTCAGCCCTTGTTCCAAATCGGGTACCCCAGGCTGTAGCCACATCATCTTCTTGCATTTTTCATACCCATATTGCTTAAACAGGGTGTCAAGGTCACGGAGATTGCAGTAGTCAATGTCCATCTCTGGCAATGAGTCCACCCTTCCATTTATATAGGTCATCACTCCATCTTCATCTCTGACTAAAATACCACCATGATGATAAACAATCACTGTATTCAGACATCTGTCAAAACCAAAAAACCAAACCTATCATTAATTCAACGGCCACAGACTTTAGACCACTTATACAATACAAAGCAATAAAAAAAGCAACATTTTTTATGGATGCTGACTTTTTTTCCAACGATTACCATGGGGTTTTTAATTATTACTGGGTCAACCATGGCCCCTTTTCTAAAATAGGGACCACACCACCCGGTAGTTACATTCTTTAACACAAAACCCTAAATGGAAACATGGACCACAATGTCCACTACGCATGCAGAACAAAACAAGCATTAAACAAAGGGGAACTACATGGGGACCACAAACAAAGGATGACAAAGAACAATAAAAAAATGTTCCAACATATAAAGACTCTCTTACCTTTTTGTACGGAAGGTTCAGCCTCACACAAAACCAAAGAGCTTTTCTTCCACTGTTTCCCTCCGATTGTTGAAGAACTTTGTAATCCAAACGCAGCCGAGTGTTTACTCCACGGTCGTCTTCCTTCCTTCTCAACAATGGCCCGTCGAAGTTAGAAGAGAGGGAAATGGTAAAGTGTCCAACGGTTAGGTGAGGGGCAATTTTGGGTTTAATAAAAAATGGTCTGACCAACGTGGATGACTATCTCCAAACGACGTCGTTCCTCAACCCACGTGGCCTTCAGCATGTCACTTAACGTGACACATCATCACCGTCATTAACACCGTCAGTTTTGGATTGACAGAAGGACTAACGTAGGTCCTGTTTCACTTTGTTGGGGACTATCTAACGAGTTTATTTTTGTTAGGGACTAATTTGGGCATCGAGTTTTTTGTCAGGGACCAATTTGGGTCTTTACTCTAAATTATAAAAGAGAAAAATATTTGTCCTTTTAAAGGAAAGCCATTTTAGTTAAAACTACTCTTTTTTATTTAATATTTAAATTAAAAAAACATCTCACTTTCTCCCACCATAATTTCTATTATGTAACTGTTTCTCTCACAATAAAAGACAATAATTTTGACTAAACACTAATACCATTATGGAAAAAACATTTGTCATTTTAAAGGACATAACTTTGTGTCATTTTAGATGAAACGACGTCGTTTTACACATTTAACAATTTTTTAGATTCTCTCTCCATAAAATTAGGAAGAGAGAGAATGTAAAAAATCATCTATTATACACTGAAACGATGTCGTTTCAGCTAAAATGACACAAAATTGTGTCTTTTAAAATGACAAACATATTTCTCATTTTTTTAACGGGGATACTGACAAAAGTGAGGTGGATTTGGACAAAAGGTTTGTGCATAGAATTAGAGCATATGAAATTGAGGAGGCATTAAAGAAGATGAAGACTTGTAATGCTTTGAGATCCAATGGTGTCCTTATTGAAGTGTGGAGATACCTAGGGGATGTGACAATAAGTTGGTTGAAACTAATAATGTTCTTGATGTATTAAGAAGATGAAGGCTGGTAATGCTTTTAATAAGATTCAACGAACTAATAAGATATTTGATGAATAAGAAAAGAGTACACTTGTTCCTATTTACGAAAACAAGGGAGATAGGTAGAATTGTTCTTACTATAAAGGCATTAAACTTATTGGCGGTAGTATGAAGTTGTGGGAGAGAGGCATTGCGCATTGTTTGAGAATAGAGACCAAGATCTGAATAAATCAATTTAGATTTATGCCAGAAAGATCTACCATTAAGGCTATTTTCTTGATACAATGACAATTGAAAGATATCGGGAGAAGAGGAAGGACTTAAATTTGGTGGTTATTGATCTTCAGAAGACGTATGATAAGGTTCTAAGAAAGGTTCTATGGTGGGTTCTTCAGATAAAAAAATACCATCAAAGTATGTAGAGACAATCAATGATATGTATAATGGTGTTACTGATATGAACCTCATCAAGAATAGTGAGACCCAAGACCAATTTAGTTAGGATCGTTTCTACAATCAGGAGTTTAAAACAAGAAATAAAGAACCTTGACTCGTTATCTATGGAAGATAAGAACCAAAGGTATAAGAAGGATAAAGACGCCACACTCAAGAAAGAAGAAGGTGAGTGATAAATCTGGTTTGAACGCCACAAGAACAAACTTCTTAATAAATTCAGAGTTCTAGATAAGAACCAAAGAGAAGAAACCTCTCTATTATATTATAACTTCAAAATCTGATTACAAGAGTTATTTCCTCCATTATTTATACTTGGAACATCCCTCCAAGAATAGGAAAAGACTAGCAAATGAAAAGACACTAATTTAAAGTTGATAACTTAGAAAAAAGGAAAAGACTCTAATCAGCCCACTAAACATTAATGACATTGGAAATGTAAATCAATCCCACTAAGCATTAATAACATTGAAAATGCTATCAGCCCTACTAAGCATTTAATTGACATTGAAAATTGCTACTCATTCCACTCAACCTCCCTTGCATTGATGACATTAACTAAATTCTGATAATGAATAAATTTGGACTTGATGTCTTCATGATTAGCCTACATTTGCTAGATCAACCGACTAAGAGCTTCTTTAAACTTCTTGGCCCTTGATCTTGTTATTGGACCATTTGGCAATTGCAATGAATCACTAGGTGTTGTCTCCTTATTCATATCACCCCCTCCCTCTTCAAAAGGATTTGTCCTCAAATCTGCACCTACATGAAAAGGAGATAAATCAGAAACATTAAATGTTGCACTAACATTGTACTCACCTGGAAGGTCAAGCTTGTAGGCATTATCATTTATCCTCTCAATCACTTGAAGTGGTCCATCACCCCTTGGAAGCAGTTTGGAATGTCTTTGGGTTGGAAATGTTTCCTTTCTCATATGTAGCCAAACCCAATCTCCGGGTTCAAAAACTACTTTCTTGCGCCCTTTATTGGCTTGGTTGTCATATTGTTCAGTTTTCCTCTCGATGTGTTGCTGAGCTTTTTCATGAATCTGTTTAACAAGTTCAGCCTTCTTCTTTCCATCTAAGTTAACATGTTCACTTACTGGTAAAAGAGTTAAATCCAAAGAAGATAATGGATTAAAACCATATACAATTTCATATGGTGAAAACTTAGATGCTGAATGGACTGTCCTATTATATGCAAATTCTGCATGTGGCAAACATTCTTCCCATGATTTCAAATTCTTTTGAATCAAAGAACGCAACAATGCAGACCAGATCCTATTAACCACCTATGTTTGCCCATCTGTTTGTGGGTGACAAGTAGTAGAAAACAAAAGTTTTGTTTCTAGTTTACTCCACAAAGTTTTTCAAAAATAACTTAAGAACTTTGAATCTCGATCAGAAACAATACTTTTGGGAATACCATGCAATCTTACAATTTCTTTGAAAAACAAGTCAGAGGTATGTGATGCATCATTGGATTTATGACAGAATGAAATGTGCCATTTTTTAAAATCTATCAACAACCACAAACACTGAATCCTTACCCCTTTTGACATAGGCAATCCTAAAACAAAATCCATGGATATATCTAC